GGGGGGGTGGGGGTGAACACCACACATTTGGTTAAGGTAGGTTACACTTAGCAATCCAACCAATGCTCGTGAGACCAATGTATAACCTTTATGTTGTAGGTTGTCTACGTGACTGCCACATTCCCGTACCTAGTGTTGGTCATATTCTTTTTCCGCGGTGTGACGTTGGAGGGCTTCTATCACGGTCTGGAGCACTTCTTTGTACCTGATGTAAGTATCACTCTATTTTCCCGGTGTCGGAAGTCTTTAACACACGTTAAAGCTTTTGCCACTTAATTACCTGATGAATCTCGTAAGATTTATATCGACCGTTTTCAGGCTAGGTAATTGCATAGCCGTGTTGCATATGTTCAATGCAAAAGAATAAATAAGTGTCTGTAACTGGATTTGCTTTCTAGATTAGTTTAAACATAATTTTATTTCCAAGTTTTGCACATTAAACAAACTTCAAAACAAAGAATAAAGAGGATTGGGAAACAAGCTAAGAGCTTAACCTAATTCCTCTCCTCTATTGGACCTTACGGCACAGTCTACACCGACATTTGCACATAAATGATGACAGATGGACAAAACGGTAACGAGATATGGAGATGTAATGATTTTAAAGAATGCATATAGCGCATCGGCTGTAAGCTATTTACTTGTACATTTGTTGAATAGATAAAGAAGATGAAGAGATAACAAAACTAAAACTTAAAACTCTGTGTAACCTCAGTGGTGTAAAACAAAGGCCTATTATTAAAGCAAATAGTGTCTAATCAAATATTTTGCTGTTGATGATAAAGTCGTGCACGGCAAGAAATATTTCAGAATTTTCCATGATCTACCCACAAAAGAGCATCGACATCATTTTGTATGTCATATTTTAAAATGGTATTTGATAAAAACTGCTGTCTACTTTGAGTGTATTTGTTACATGTGAATAACAAATGATAATTGTCTTGTCTTCTATGGTAAACCCACACGAATAACGTGATGAGTCTATAAGGTTTTGTATGAAATAAATGTTCGTTGAGTGAGCTACATTTGAGCCCGAGTCTAGGGTGGAGTATTTGACCTCTGCGATTACCTGCGTTGGGGTAGTTTGGAGCGTTTGTTGTACTGCCATTGCTAAGATAAGTTTTGAGTGTTTGGACTGATGAACTTTCACTTATATTTTGTGGTATTTTTTTCGAAAGGCGAATCGATATTTATGAGGGTAAAAAAGAGTCTCTAAATATATTTGTGCGAGTTTTGAGGGTTGAGTATAAGTCAGTTCTTCTTGTATTGTATGTGTGGTTTTCAGATATTATTAGAGGGACAGGGACTAGTGAGAACAGATAGGTAGGTGATTTGTTGTTTACCATTTTGTGAAACTGTATTAGTTTGTTTTTTCGCGACGTTTTGCTAATTGTTCCCACTGGATATCTCTATATGAAAGTTCATTACTAGCTATTTTCGTGCCCCCCATTTTTGAATGTTACCAACCATGTATCTGCCCATTTTTGAATTGTATTTAAATCGTTATTCATAATATTTCTAGCTTCATTTGGATCATCAACTATTACATATAGAGAGGTGTCGTCAGCAAAAAGTTTGACATTACACCTTATATTAATAACTATATCATTAATGTAGACGAGAAATAAAAGAGGCCCAAGTATTGATCCTTTTGGAACACCTGCCGTAATCTTTGAGATTTGAATATTTCTCGCCTAAAACTACATTTCATACCTGCTAATTTCAATTTGTATAATAAAGCCTTATGCCAAACCCTGTCGAACGCTTTGCTTATATCACAAAACACTACTCGAATAAAGTCATTGGTTTACGGCAGAGTCACCCAGAGTAAACCCAGACTGGTGTACAGTGATTTTTTTTGTATCCCTAAGAAAATTGAAAATATATTTAAAAACACAATGCTCCATTAAATTACCAACAATACTCATTAGAGAAATCGGGCTATAATTAGATACGATTGCCTTATCGTCCTTTTTTTTAAAGGTGAAACATATGCGATTTTCCAATTGTCTGGATATGTACTGTCTCTAATACACTTATTAAAAATATAACTAAGGGGCTCACATAGAACACCTTCTATTAAAAGTTTACCATGAATCAAATCGGGACCAGCTGCCTTAGATACACCAAGTATACTTATTGCATCTTGAACATCTTGTGGTGTTATATTGATTGTGTCTAGATGTGGGTGAGGAAATGTATGGTTTACCGGAAGTGATGTGTTTGAGTCGTCAATAGTGGACTGTTGGCAGAAATAGGTATTAAATGTGTCAGCTTTGTACTGGTCATCGGTGATTACCTAGTTAGTATGTATCGAATGAGGGATGGGCGATGATTTATTTGAAAACCCAGTAGATTTGTTAGCTATTTTCCACCAATTACGAGTGGAGGAATGCGTTTGTGTTAGTTTGTTAGCTCGTTTAGAATAGTAATCTGATTTTGCTTTCCTTATAGCATCAACACAAGAACTTCTAATTGTTTTAAACTTATTCCAATGAGCTGGATTTTAAGTACGTTTTGCCTTCCTATGAATTCTTTTTCTTGAACTTATTAAAGTTCTTATATTATTATCTGCATCCAGGGGGAGTATTTAGAACGAACAGTGATTAATTAGTTCGGAATTGATGTTGAAGCACATACAAGTACAGATTCAGTTAAGAAATCAACTGCATCTTTTAGGGGGGAATTTTCAATATTAGCCAGCCAATCAATTTCACCAAGTTTTGTATTAAATAAGTGACAATCACCCTGGCTATATATCCATATCAATTTGATAGTCCAGGTAAGGATGGATTCGAATATTCAGCATCATGTACGCTATGGTAACGTTACGTCCGTTTTTTTGATATTTTTGATTGATTTAAACATATTTTATTGCATAAATGAAGCAAACGGATTAGGCACAAGCTACATCAACATTACAAAGGCGCTCTCCAGAATAAACTTTACATGAATTGAGAAATAGCATAATTTGATCACAATAAATAACATTTTCATTCAATAAATGAAAAATACAACAGATACAAATATGATGAGTTAATGTCATATCGTCCGTTTTACATCGTTTTGTCCGCCTTTTTTTAGTTAAGATTTTAGATATTTGATGATAATGATATATTGTTTCAAACATATGGTATATATTTAAACTATCACTACAAATGTCCTAATTTTACTTCGCACAACACGCACACGAAAAGTGTCGATAATGTCTTCCTCCGCGCAAGAACGAGTGCCATCTACAACGTCAGGTAAAGATATGTATATAACACTGTAAAGTAAGGATTTATCAAATCAGATTAGTTTTACTGATTAATGCATATGAACTCATAAATGTTTCACTCATAGAGATGATTTGCAATATTAACATAAAACATCGGTGATGGAGGATAGTTAGACTCACTATGCTTAAAAACTCTCTACAGTTCAAACGTCTAGGAGACCCTCAGGTGTGGTTGGAGGCCGCCACCCAGATCTTTTTCTCACTGGGGCTTGCGTTTGGAGGCTTGATCGCATTCTCTTCCTACATGCCTGTTCGAAACAACTGTTACCGGGATGCCCTGTTTGTATCTATCGTCAACTGCGGAACCTCTGTGTTCGCCGGCATCGTCATCTTCTCCATCCTAGGTAAGTGTCTGTGGAGGTCCCTGTCATCACATACAACGACCAACTAGGAATATTAGACCTTCATGATAAGAAACTATACTTTTTTTTTATATTCTCAGTCAAAACAGAGTTATAAATGTTTATATTTCTGTGTCATAAGCAAATATAAAATACGATTCCTCAGTCAAAGGGAATATTTTTAAACAGTGTCACGTATCATAGTATATTAATATTTAATATATTTGATCAACATAAATTGTAAAAAGCCTAACGTACCTCTCTATTACTGCTACGTAACGCCGCTTTCGATTGCAGTGGACTTCTAATTAGCATACGTCCCTTTGTGGTTCCAGGGTTCAAAGCAACTCGAGCTTACGACGGGTGTTTGGAGAACCGGAACTCGGAGCTGCTACGGCTGTTCAACTCCACATCAATTATTCCTCCGCCCGAGGGAACCCTTATCAATGTGACCAAATTTGACCCCCACCTCCAGATTTGGGGCTCTGTACTGACCAGCATGCCAAGCATCACTTCTTGTGATTTCAAGTCTGAAATAGAAAAGGTTCGGCATTCACAATCTATCACGTAGGGCGAAAATGTTATTTTTATTACCATACAGCAACAGACTTGTTGTTGAAATAAAGGAAATAACCTACCCTGATTTATTATGAAGAAATGCTCCGATACAAATATAGAAGAAAATTCCAACGCATCTAGTGAAATTATATATGATTTAAATCAAGTTAGTTTTGATCTCACCTTGATAACTTGGTGTTCCTCCGAAGTCGATAATGTTGCATCACACCTTATCCTTTCAGTCTGGCTCTGGTACAGGGCTTGCCTTCATTGCCTTCACGGAAGCTGTCACACAGTTTCCGGCTGCACAGTTTTGGGCCGTGCTGTTCTTCCTGATGCTGCTCACCCTTGGACTAGACAGCATGTTTGGCACGCTAGAGGGCGTTATCACTTCAATTGTTGATATGAATCTGGTCACGAACCTACGAAAAGACTTCCTGGCCGGTATGTAATGTTCTGGGTTTTGTTTTGTCTGTAAACCAGCCAAGTTGCTGTAATAACAAACAATATACTGACATGTATGCCACACGCAATACACCAGGCAGTTGTTCTAGACATTTATCTTTTGCATATTTGAAGCCAACAATGGACAAAAGGTTGGATCTAAGACATAATTCAAAAATAAAAAAATATTTAGAGAATATCTAACCCGCTTGTTCACACACCTTAGATTTACATATACACGTGGTTAGATCGACATCTTTACATTGAACCCAATGATAGAATTAATATGACAGTGCTAAGTTTAATCATTTATATACCTGCTCTGTTTCAGGGTTTATCTGTCTTGTTTCCTTCATGATCTCGTTCTGCTTTGCAAACCAAGCGGGACCGTATATATTCACCCTGTTTGACGAGTTCAGCGGGAACATTCCTTTACTGGTCATCGCTCTGGCCGAAGTCATCGGCATTGCATATGTATATGGTCTGAAAAGGTGAGGTACAAAACTTCCTTGTAACATTTGATTGTTATTGTGATATCATAGTTTATTTTCCGTGTATTCAATCATTCAACCATAAAGAAAACGGACTTGGTACGAGTACTAAGTGCTTTACTCCAGGTGGTTTCGGTGCAGTCAAATATCAATTCCGTCTTTTCGTATTGCAGAGTTATCTTTTCTTGTGAGCAGGTATTGATTGTTACGTTATTTGTTTGTGAGAGTAACGTCATCAATTTTTGAGAAAAAGACGTAATTTTCTCACACAAATCAATGACGTAACAAATACCTGCTTACAAGAGAAGATAACTCTGCAATACGCAAAGACGGAATATCAAAGGTCAAATTCTCCCCGAATCAGGACAAAGAAGAATAACGGAATTATCACAACAGTAGGTTAGAGGTGGAGCATAAAGAGAATCCATACTTTACTTGTCACTCAAACTTCATGATAAAATCGCGTCGGAGAATGTCAAGACCGATTGGTCTCTTGCTCAAATTAAGATTGAGTGAGCGTTATACCATAGTTATCAGTCGTACGATGTGATGTTAATTTAAACTTTGAGTCCATCACCTACAAATATGTGATTTCAAGTTGCTGTACTGAGTGACTTTCGTTCGTCGTTAGTGAATCGGCATTGGTCATCATTTCTACTTCCTTTTCATGTTCTTTAGGCGTGTTGTAAATTTGCACATTTTTCTTCTATGCAAGACAGCTGACACAGTGTATGCACGTAATCGGTGATATGGTGGTAAACAATGGCACTACACGCCTTGGTTAGAATTTCAGTATACAATACTGTGTGTATAATTGTCTTGTAGGAGAGGGACTTAAAAAGTTTACAATGTCACCCCATCTTGTAACAGATAAACTGTTATCAGACGCTCACTCAACCGTAGCTTGAGAAAAAAGTTTGTCTTGAAACGTTGTCACATGCTTACAAAATACACTAAAACTAAAGCATGGATACTTTTATATTAACAAGCTGATGGTTCCTTTTGAAGAGACATTGCATTCTTACATAGCTTGATAATGTTCACAAGAAAAGAATTTAGATGTAACTCAAGTGATTTTGAGTTATACGTAATTTATAATTTGTAAATCCATTTTGCCTCTTACGTTTTTCCCCTGATTTATTGGTAAATAAAGTTATAAGTATTCGTTTCCAAAATGCTTACTTAAATTAGTATGTATTTTGGGGCCATTCCACGATTGTCTGACAGTGCATTCCTTGCCTCCACAGATTTGGGGACGACATCCAGCTGATGACAGGCCAGAGACCTAACTGGTACTGGTTGACGATGTGGAAGTACGTATCGCCTGCCGCCATGTGTATCATACTCCTCGCAAGCGTCGTCAAAATGGCCGTGTCTGGCACCTTTTATGACGCCTGGTCGGCTGTCGAGGTAAGTACCCTCCATGTCGAGTCCAACACCCTCAATGTCCCAGTAAGTTCCCTCCCTGTCGAGTCCAAAACCCTCAATGTCCCAGTACGTTCCCTCCATGCCACAATACGTTCTTTGCCTTATAGTGATGTAAACGCAATGTTGCTTTAAAATACCATTTCCCATAAGCATAAGGCTTCTGTTGAATGCTCATAGATATAGTACTTATAAGTCAGGTGGGAATTCACCAATATTTCACAGTAGATCTTCTTTGCGAAGATGTTTCCTGTTTACGTTAAAAACTATTTCTATATATATATATATCTTTCAAAATACAATGATTTGTATGTTTAATGGTAATATTGACCTTTGACCTTTTAGGCAGACACGGTAAAGCAGCAGTGGCCAGCCTGGTGCAAGTTTCTCGCCGCCTTTTTGATACTGACCTCGACACTATGGATACCAGTTGTTGGCGTTTTGAAATATTTCAATATTGTCAAGTGGAAACCGGAGGTGCCTGCAGAATTTCCTGAAGAAGATTTAATTCAGGAACGAAATATAAAACCATATATTCCTACAGACTGGGAACGAAAACTTTTTTACTGGAAGGAGAAGTTATGATGACGGCTATATATAGCATCAAACATATAATTTACAATATCTTAGAAATCCCGTTCTCAAAACTGTATACTCGAATGTATATCGATAATTTCTGTTCTCGTTGGAATCCTCTACAAAGATGCTTTCAGCTTTCCTTTACAAAGACCTATGCAGTATTTTTTAATATTTTGTCTTCAAAGTTGTTTTTATAATTATATATAATCTAGTAATGTATGGAATAGAACGATATAGTGCAATACACTGGTATGACATTGGGTGTCCAGGCGAGACAACTCAAACACATCTATACTGGTTGAACATCCTGAGTCATTCTATATTTAGAGTTATAGTGGCGGATCCAGAGAAAATTGAGGAGATGGTGAAAACACATGATTTTTAAAGAAAAAATTCAGGGGGGTGGGGGGGTGGGGTGGTCCTGAAGCTCCCCCCAAAAAACTCTGGATCCGCCAATGAGATCTCTTATTCAGACGAAGGACGACTAAACAAGATACATACAGTATAACGATCGGTATTACACATATACTCTGTTGACACAGTCATTTTGCCAATATTAACGACTTACAGAGACACACATCATATCCGGAGTGATTTAAGACGACATTTAATGAGGTTTTTTATTATCATAGTATCATTTAAACCCGGCATAAGGTTTTTTGTCTAAAACACAAGTGCTCGGCCTACATTATCATAACAATGTGCAATTTTAATGGATATAGAAAGTACCATTAACATGTACAAATCTTATTTTTTACCAAAAAAATCATGTTACATCTGGATAGTGTGACAATAGGCGTACTTCGTGTTTTAATTTGGGAAAAAGAAATGTGTCATGGTCGAATGAATACCTCAAAAGGACTCCTATTTTCTAGTTGTTTATATTCTCCTTTAATGTTTAAAAAAAAGTATTTTCATTTATTCTAACAATTTCTATTTCTTACGAAAAAAATGATATTGGAGACTTTGATATCATAAAAGATTATGTAGCCTACAGGTGTAAAATAAGGACTCCCTACGTAACGATAAGAGAAATAATTGGATCGTAACTTTTAAATAATGTCGTTTGTGTATGACATTCACTGTTGAAAATGGCAACAAAACTCAAGGAGTAATGCCAATCTTACCGTACATATTATATAAGATATCGTGTATGTTTATGATAAATATTTTACAAGATGTCATAGCATATGAACTTTATAATGTAAACGTTATATAAATTGATGAGCCATAGGATCGACACTGCTCATTGAATACACGGTAACTTTTGCTTGCCATAATTTGGTGTGATATTTGTTATCGTGCATATTACAATGTATTAAATACTCAACCGGTGAGGATTCTCAAAGTTATATTTTATACCTGTGATTTATCTTTTACAAAAGAAATAAAGATATTGTTCTAACTAATTGTTTTAATATAAATCAAACCAAGATATACCTAACATCAATTGTTCATGATGGCAAATCAACGTGAGTCAAAGTTGCCAATACGTTTAATTGATATTTGAATACATGTATTTATCGTGTTTACTACACAATATTTAGTAACAGTACACTCTACATTAACTCTACCTCTTGTTAGTTCTGCACTCCGAGGATCCTGATAGACCTAAGCCATATAAAATGAATACTCTCTTTTTATCCTTTTCTGGCGTTGTCTTCCATGGAAACCATGAGTGTATTGCTATTCATATTCATGTTCCAGAAGCAAACTTCGCACTACCATTCTTCCCCAGGGATGTTATATTATAAATACTACATTCCTACATTGAATTGGTCATATTCCATCCTTTAATATTTCAGACCATTCTATCTATATCAAACCATAAAAACCCAGCTGCCAGATATGTTAAAAACGACAGATTACGTTCTATCCTCCCCAGCCCTGTGAGATATAAGGCCACAACACTTCTTCTTCGCCTGTGCTTGTAAAGATTATTTCTTATTTGTCTATAAAATCTCAGTAACACGAACAATATACACGTTAAATATACGGACTTTACCCGTAGTTGTAAGGATTTAGAATGGCAATAACTGATCCACCCGTTGTCAGTATAAGGTGACCGGGCGGAACGCTGTGCTGGGTGCCTTGGGGTATGGTATTTCAGAGAGATAGAACTGTTAAGACAGCATCAGATCCGCACTCTCACAAGTAGGCAAATAAACATACCAACATACCCTGCCTCTGGCACACTTACACTTATGCAAACATACACACATGGAGGCACGTCCTAAATAAGCTTAGCTGTTAATTGGACGTTAAACAAAGAACATAAAACCAAACCAAATCAAACTTAGACGACCATAAGGCACATGTCTTTATGTTCTTGTTTAACTGGTGGACTGAAACAATGGGAATCGGTCCACGATTAATCACAAAGTCACCAATACATCTACCAACATTTAAATACAGAGAATATAATCTAGTTGAACATCTTCATACAACCAAAGTCCAGCTAGCCACGTTGTCATTGACCATCTGAATATTATCCATAATGCAAAGCTGCGAGGGCTTTCAATGAAGGAACCAAAGTACCGAGCGGTGTTAGTTTTTCTCCGACAGAGTATACTGTACTGTGGAATTAATGGAAACTGGTTTTGAAGAACTCAAAAGATCCTTTCACCAACCGTAATATTATTTCTCCAAAAAACACTACCAGATCAACAAGCAAAGGAAAGCATTCGTCCTCCTATTATCAAAGTAAGGCAAACGGCGCTGCAAATACATATCTGTGAACTATTTTATGGTATAGTTTTTCACAAACATGACAAAAGTCAACATGAAATATACTGAGGGTGGAATCGCGGGATGATTGAATAATTGTTGACGATATCTTTGTTGCTTTTGTGACAATATTTGCCTTTTGGCATTTCCATGTAATGGGGGACATACTGTTTGTCTGAATTTATTCATGAGCTTATCGAACAGGAGGCAAAAACCTGGCCAAATTCCCTCAATTTCACTCCCAGATATATCGACTGTTTGGTTTCTTTACATAAGAAGAAAAGTATTGATCACGTCGATCGTATATATACCCTCGTAAATTAAAAATCTAGGACACCCCAGACTCTTCTTCAATCACCACCTACATTGATCTTTACTAACGACATGACCAACAGGTCCTGCTTACTAATAAGATGTATCACAAACGTAATTATTCGTGATGAACTAGATTTACTGAACTGGCATGAAATTCTTGAAAACAAATCCACTACTCAATCTTGGGAAATCTTCGTTGAAATCATCACCAAACTAACAGAAGACAAAATACCCGTGAACAGGACAACCCAAAACAGAGCAAGTTGGAAATCTTATCTCGACCTTGCAGCGAGGAAATCAATCCGTCACAAGAGAAGGAAATGGATCAAATATCAACACTGCAAAACTGAGTATAACTTTGAAGAATATAAGAAAGCCAGAAATACAGCAACCAGAAGAATAAGACATCACACTACAATTATGAGAAAAAATCTGGCTGAAAACATTAAAACAAATAGCAAGCTTTTTTGGAAGTACGTTAACAACAAAACCCGTACTAAAACAAGCATAACCAACGTGGAGAAACTAGACGGTACTCACACAGTCACCAACAAACAAACTGCAGATGAACTGAACACTTACTTTGGCTCTGTATTTAATGTAGCTGAAATTGTTGATGGTCCTGAATTTCCATCGAGACCACACCAGACTGAACTATCAAATACAGAAATCACACCAGAACTCATAAGAAAAGCTATGAAGAAATTAAAACCCAACAAGTCTCCTGGACCCGACATATTTCACCCAAAACTGCTTATTGAAACATCTGAAAAAAACATTGAACCCTTGGAGATCATATTTAAAACATCGATTGAAGAAGGAAAGATTCCAGACGGCTGGAGAACTGCCCATGTAACACCTGTCTTCAAGAGCGGAAACCACAACAAAGTTGAAAACTACCGCCCAATAAGTCTAACATCTATACCAGGGGAAATCTTACAAAGACGTATTCGTGACAAAATTGTAGAACACATGGACAATAATTAAACAACCTCTTCACTCGCCACCAACACGGTTTTCGATCTGGGAAATCCTGTACAACAAACCTATTGGAAGTAATGGAACACTGGGCAGAGACAATAGACAAAGGAGAGAACATTGATACTATATACTTAGACTTCAATAAAGCATTTGACAAAGTCCCTCACAAATTCTTACTGAAAAAGCTTCAAGGGTACGGAATAACTGGTAAAATCCTCCAGTGGATTCAAGATTTCCTCTCAAATCTAAAACAACGAGTATCCATAAATGGTGAATTGTCTGGTCTGGTGGATGTAACGAGTGGTGAGCCCCAGGGTAGTGTCATTGGTCCAGTTCTTTTTATGCCCCTGCCATAAAATGGGGGGGGGGGGGGCATTTTGTCAAATGCTTTATTGAAGTCTAAGTATATAGTATCAATGTTCTCTCCTTTGTCTATTGTCTCTGCCCAGTGTTCCATTACTTCCAATAGGTTTGTTGTACAGGATTTCCCAGATCGAAAACCGTGTTGGTGGAGAGTGAAGAGGTCATTCTTTGACAGATTTTGGTCAAACTTTATACAAAGGTCAAGTATGATTATACTTCGGACATCATTGTATTTCAGGGATACAAGGTCACATTTGCTATATATAGAAAATCGTCCCATCCCGTCCCGTCCCGATTCAATGTAAACACTTAGCAACTTCATTCTTTGGCAGATTTTGGTCAAACTTTATGCAAAGGTCAAGTATGAGTATACTTCGGACAACGTTATATTTCAGGAATACAAGGTCAAGACAAAGGTCACATTTGCTATATATAGAAAATTGTCCCGTCCCGTCCCGATTCAATGTAAACTCTTAGCAACTTCATTCTTTGGCAGATTTTGGTCAAACTTTATGCAAAGGTCAAGTATGAGTATACTTCGGACAAACGTTGTATTTCAGGGTTCCAAGGTCAAGGCCAAGGTCACTGTTGCTATATATAGAAAATCATCTACTGGTTCAATTTAAACACTTAGCAACTTCATTCAATATGTTATGGAGATGGTAATAACATACAGAATTAACATGAATATTAAAATCAACTTTAAGTGTAGTACCTTGCGTGTGTGCATGTTTCAGGGTATCAAGATCAAAGTGGTTGTAACTTTTTATAGAACACTGAAACTAATTTCACATGGCAGCGGGGGGGCATTTATGTCTTACAGACATTTTCTAGTTTTAATCTACATCAATGACCTCCCCGATATAGTCAAACACAGTGGAGTAAAACTTTTTGTTGACGACTCAAAAGTATTCAAAAACATCTGTAGGCAAACAGGGACTGCAGAACTACAAACTGATATCAATAACATCGTCCAATGGACATCAGATTGGAAAATGACATTAAATACCAAAAAATGTAAACATCTAAATATTGGTAACCTAAACCAAGATTCTACATATTACTTCCCCTCATGTGATGAGTTTGAGAAAGTTACTAAAGAGAGAGAACTGGGTGTAACAATTTACAACAAACTGAAATTTAACCACCATGTGAGTCAATCTGTTAACAAAGCAAATCGCACACTAGGACTAATCTTTAGGACATTTACTTACTTGGACAAAACTATGTTTCTTACACTTTACAAGAGTCTCATTAGGCCTAACTTGGAATATGCTACCCAGGTCTGGTCCCCTTTTCTGAAAAAGGACCAAATAGCCTTAGAAAATGTGCAAAATTGAAGGCACGAATATAGCTGTTTGATTGGTCTCGGGTAAAAAACCACCTGACCAATCGTTAGGCTGATACCTGTCCTTAGAAGATTACACAAAGGAGCCGCGAGATTCTTTTGATGTACATCAAAGGATCGAACTAGTCTTCTTGTCTCATCGACAAGGTGGCACACACGGAGCCTTCAATTTTTCTATGACATATTCCAGGGGTGTAGAGAGCGAAAGTGAGCGTAACCCCTGGATATCGAGGATGGCTTTACTATTGTTGTAGGACAAATGTACAGGCAGACACAAGACATATCATGTTTGATGAAGATTTGGTGTATCAATTCTAATCTCTACACAGTTCGTCGTCGGAGGAAGTTGTACAGAAATCATGATCATCAGACATAATGCCAGAAACCCGCCTATATGCCAGATGCATTGGCGAGTTATTTTCAGCGGTTTCGATACACTGGTCATTTTGCACTCTTTTCTTGACAAAAGAAACAGACGTTTTTCGTAAGCTCGCAAAATAAGTTTTCAATTACTGCTTGTGTCCAAAACAAGCCTAGTATTTATTATTCATACCAAAATGATGAATTACATTCCTGAAACTGTACTCATTTTTATATCATTACGATTGTGCATCAGGTGTATGATAAACCTACTGAATACAATGCCGTCTGTTTGATGTCCAGAATCTGGTATGTTCCTTAAATTAGCATAGACAGAATTAAGAATGTTAAGAGTGACGGCCCAATACAGTACACGTGGATTACTGATGAACTGAATTATATTATCAATGATATAACGGTAACAAGTTACAAACTTCCGTTTGTTGACCACTGGAGTTATTTGGTGTTTTTTTTTGCGACTGACTTATGCTTCACGAATTATCAACAATGGAGAATGACGTCATTTTTAACATGCTAAAAAATGATGAAAATCCAAAGCAACATTTATAAAAAAATTACTACTTTTAAGCTAAAAATACCAACAGTATATGTAACATTAAATAGGAAGGTCAACATTCAGTGACTGAGGACATCATTTTTCCAAACTCGCTCTTATTTCCTGATTATTAACGTTTCCAGGTCTTCAATCCATGTCAATGTTCAAAGGTCAGTGTGATGGACTTTAAAACTAAAAGGATAAAATGTTTTCTTATCAATACATTAACCAATCACAAAACTTCATTAATGTTTAAAGGTCAACAGTCAAGGTCAAATACAATTTCAAAAGTGTTTTTTTCTTTTCTGAAAGACTTTGATTATCTAATAATTTTCTCAAAAAACACATACAGAATAAGACACTTAAAACAACAACTCAACAACAACTGTCTTATATAGCATTTTTTTATTTTTTTATTTCGATAGATTGAAGTTGCGTGAATTATCAACAAAATATCAAACCTTATTATTGTCTCCACTGGGTACAGAACATTGTAACAAAGGCACAATGTATTAACACAAGGGACACAAAAAAAAGCTGTAGCAGCCTGGGCGTTGTCAGTCTGTCTCCATGACTACCAGACAGCTTACAACAATAACAGTTACTGAAACATTGCCAGATGCAGAAACAATAACTATAATGAAGAAAAACAAAATTATTTCCAGGTGATAATTCTCACTATGCTCAATATAAGCCCAAGTATAGTGAGTGTGTTTATAAGTTATAACTACACTGTCTTTCAATAAAAGAATAATCAACACTACACCGTTCTTTTATAAATCTCTTATTGTAAAATGTGTTAATTATTGTGAGACAGTAGTTGCCTGGCAATTGAATGATAAGTAGATGACTGAAGACTAGATCGTTAAACATGATTGGCCTACATTTCAATTCAATGTCCAGGATTATACTCCTCTAACATAGGTATATTTGTACCTCTTCTCACTGAATCTAATAACGTGTCTCAGAAAACTGATCGTTGGTGGGAGTAAAAATATTTTTAATATGTAATTGTGGAAAATAAACAATTTTGACAGATTAAACTGGGCCTGTAGTCTACCTACATTTATTTATACAGGTGAGCTCAATAGTTGTATCATTATCGTTATTTTAATACATTTATTAATTATTAATACTGGTGAGCTCAATAGTTGTATCATTATCATTATTTTAATACATTTATTAATTATTTATACAGGTGAGCTCAATAGTTGTATCATTATCGTTATTTTAATACATTTATTATCATATTTCTTAAAAATAAAGATATTATTTGAGACGGAAATTGCAATACATTTTTTCTGAACTTTTTCCAAGTCTCCATATCAAAATCTACAGAAAATATAAAATTAGAAAATATCCTAAATTTATGATCTGAAAGAAATTCTTCTAAACAAAGAGCTTGACATATGTTCATAACATTCAATGGTTGTTCTTACATATCACAAATCCTCTCAAATAGGAAAAAAAACAGGAATGTGATTTTTTAATGTACATTAATGAACACAAAAGTCCACACACATATATAGAACATTGTAATGTATATGACAGTTTCACATTGAGCAGATAAATGTAACAAAGTGTCAACCAAGGTAAATGCCAAAAGTACAAATCAGAAAGTAACAACATCATAAATATTGTAAGAGTTATTCCCCCTTATATCAGTGTATCAATAAGACCAAACTGATTCGGATTATGATAAAGACAACTACCTAAATGTATCGTGGGTTTTTATAACACAAGAAGTTTGATACATCATCTAAATGATCGGGAAAATGAACAAAAAGTCAAAACCTTAAATCCATCAATATAATATAGTAATTGGAAACTTGACACTTTTGAGGCAGTGTGGAATCCTTGACAAGATATTGGGAATGAAGTCATGATAGACAACTATGACAAACAAAAGGTTAATTGAATGGCGCGAACAAAATTGAAATGAAGGGGAAAAAAATCCATAAATTTGCATGGACCGTCATGATTCATACCTGACCCTAAAGGTCCTCCCACAAAATCAATGAAGTAACACGGAGATATTGTGCCCCACCACTGCGAGTGACGGCTCCACACTGCTCCGGGGAATACTTCTGCCCCAATAACACCAATCATCTTCAAATAAAATCTAAATGGCATATTCATATGTCCATCACATATTATGCACGTTAAGTTTTCCATCGGCCTCAACGCCATCAGTGGTGTTCCATCACATGTTTGACAACAATTCTTATTGAGTCCACACACGTGTGTCACACATTGTATCAAAATTAAATTTCTATTTCAGTGTTTAAAAAGAAATGTTATGTCATTGTTGTCTTTTCCAGCACATTAAAATACTGTAATGTTGCCATGGTGTTTAGTCCATTCCGAATGACATACATATATATATATATATATATAAATCGGTTTTTATGTTGACATCAAAGTTCATCCTGTGCATTAAAAACTTTCCAAAGCTCCATCTATGTAGACTGTGCCTTGTTCAACTCATATGCTTCACAGCGATTTCAACAAAACACCTTTACCAAGGTCCAATACATATTGTCTTCCTTGGTAAATCACTGTTAGTCCTTGCTTATCTATTATAAAGCATATCCTTTCTTCAGTTAAGTGTCCCTCTGACCACCAGTACACAACCACTGTCACTCTTAATTCTTCAGAGATTTTGTACAATCATCACAAAAATAATTTAATAGCAGCTTAAAGCTCCTCGAATTAGGGAAACGTTTGTGCTGTGTTCCACACAATTTTTATTTAATTGGAAAGCAATTGGATCCTTGTCTAGAAGCGGCCCAGGCAGTGAACACATCCCTGAAAATATAAACAGAACACTATTACTTAGTCTACAAGCCCAATACCTCAATTTACAGTCAAGCTATCAGAGGGTACTTTAGAGATGTCTCTGAATTACAATGTTTGTACATGTTATGCAGGTGAAAAGAAGGGCTACAAAAGTGATGAGATAGGATATAAATGTGAGAAAAGACAATATACAGGTGAGAGTGAATGATATGCAGATGAGAGGAAATATAGAGATGAGAGGATAGGATGAATAGGTGAGAGTAGGGGTATATATTTTGGAGGAAAGTATATACAGGTGAGTGTGGATGAACAGGTGAGAGAATATGTAGGGGTATATACAGGTGAGAATGAATGATATACAGGTGAGAGTAAACATAGGGGCGAGGTGAGAGGATGAATAGGTGAGAGTAGGGGTATACAGTTTAGAAGAAAGTATATACAGGTGAGTGTGGATGAACAGGTGAGAGAATATGTAGGGGTATATACAGGTGAGAGTGAATGATATACAGGTGAGAATAAATATAGGGGTGAGGTGAGAGGATGAATAGGTGAGAGTAGGGGTATACAGTTTAGAAGAAAGCATTTACAGGTGAGAATAGATTATATACATGTGAGAGCAGACAATATACATGAGAAATGAGATGACAGGTGAGTAAAGATGATATACAGATTGCAGGAGAGATGTTAAGATGATTATGCGTACCTGCAATGACTGACCACACACTCGTTGCTGCAGTACTCATTGTCCCAGCCAGGGTTGTCCAGTGTGGTGTTAGTACAACCATTCCTGATGCACCACTTGGACGTGTAGGGCATGGCCTGGTTACATCCATCCTGTCAGAGAACATTACATGGTACAATTAAGTACTAGCTTCGCTATGTTACAAATATGTACTCTCTTGCAAGGATGCTTTTTATATTTAATGAAAAGGAAAACTCCTTTTAGAAAAGGATCACAGAAGGGACATAATTGAAAGCTGAATCAGAGATAATTAGCATACATTAGGGGGTACCCACAGACTCATGACCATTAATCTTAAAATTCTCTTACAGAGATTACGTAGTATACTTCATTAAGGAGTTCAAGGTTATGACCACTGACCATCAGGTCCATGCTGGGGGGCCCCGGAGCAATGTCCTGCATGTTGCGATATTGGGGCGGGCTGACGTATCCGGTCTGGTACGGTGGGCTGGTGGTCATTTGACACATCATGTCCTGCGGGGGCGACATGCTGTTCTGTGGCGATGTGGCTATGGACTGCGGGTGTTGTAGGTGTGAGCGAGCTCCACGTGTGGGCATGGCAACCACATTCAGGCCAGTTCCTTCCTCGGTACCACTCTGTAACATAAAACTCAATATTAGCTTGGCAAATACAATGAAAAACACGACTGTTCACATCTAGTAGAACACATCTACCAAGAACTGCTTTACTTCACATAACTATATACACTACCATACACAAAATCTCTATTTACACACATACACAAAATCTCTATTTACACACATACACAAAATCTCTATTTACACAATCTCTATCACACATTATCTTGATCTGACTTTATTTTATGTAGTCTCAATTTCAAACAAATCTCACTCACATCTCGCTCACACACACTAAATTTCACAGACACACTTAACCTCATACACCCCTTCATCCCTGAAGTAATTTTTATCATCTAAGCACACTCCATTTTACAAACACTTGGGTCCCTATCTTGTTTTTCTTCTTTTCTTCATATCTGTCAATTATCAGAAACTATAGCTAAAATTCCTGAAATGTACCATAGGCCGTTTTCTGAAACTTGCACTTGTCTTTAATATATAACGAGCCAGAATTCAATTATTTCACAAATCTGACACTTCTTTCGTTCATGAAAATTGCAGCCAATCGCCCTTTGTGTACCTGAAGGTTAGAGCGTAACTGTTGGCGACCACTTCGTGTTGTTATTGGTTTTACTGACAACTTACTCCCTTCTTCCAGGGCAGCCTAGAAGTAAACATATCACACTTAATACTGTACACACAGATCTCCGGGATTATATTGTACGCACAGTACCTTGTACAGTAACCATACAACCCAACACCTTTGACATTAGGATTCTGTAGTTACCATAAGCACTGGCCAACATTTGGTGTTTGTACTATAACTATAAACATAAGGATGACAGACTTTTGGTTTCTGTACAGTAACTATACACATAAGGATGACAGACTTTTGGTTTCTGCACAGTAACCATACACATAAGGATGACATGCTCTTGGTTTCTGTACAGTAACCAAACACATAAGGATGTCCGACTTTTGGTTTCTGTACAGTAATCAAACACATAAGGATGACAGACTTTCGGTTTCTGTACCGTAATCATACACATAAGGATGAAAGACTTTTGGTTTCTGTACAGTAACCAAACACATAAGGATGACCGACTTGTGGTTTCTGTACAGTAATCAAACACATAAGGATGACAGACTTTCGGTTTCTGTACCGTAATCATACACATAAGGATGACAGACTTTTGGTTTCCGTACAGTAACCAAACACATAAGGATGACAGACTTTTGGTTTCTTTACAGTAGCCATACACATAAGGATGACAGACTTTTGGTTTCCGTACAGTAACCAAACACATAAGGATGACAGACTTTTGGTTTCTTTACAGTAGCCATACACATAAGGATGACAGACTTTAGGTTTCTGTACCGTAATAATACACATAAGGATGACAGACTTTTGGTTTCCGTACAGTAACCAAACACATAAGGATGACAGACTTTTGGTTTCTGCACAGTAACCATACACATAAGGATGACATGCTTTTGGTTTCTGTACAGTAACCACACACATAAGGATGACATGCTTTTGGTTTCTGTACCGTAACCAAACACATAAGGATGACAGACTTTTGGTTTCTGGACAGTAACCATACACATAAGGATGACATGCTTCTGGTTTCTGTACAGTAACCAAACACATAAGGATGACAGACTTTTGGTTTCTTTACAGTAGCCATACACATAAGGATGACAGACTTTAGGTTTCTGTACCGTAATCATACACATAAGGATGACAGACTTGTGGTTTCTGTACAGTAACCATACACATAAGGATGACAGACTTTTGGTTTCCGTACAGTAACCATACACATAAGGATGACATGCTCTTGGTTTCTGTACAGTAACCAAACACATAAGGATAACAGACTTTTGGTTTCTGTACAGTAATCAAACACATAAGGATGACAGACTTTTGGTTTCTGTTCAGTAACCAAACACATAAGGATGACAGACTTTTGGTTTCTTTACAGTAGCCATACACATAAGGATGACAGACTTTAGGTTTCTGTACCGTAATAATACACATAAGGATGACAGACTTTTGGTTTCCGTACAGTAACCAAACACATAAGGATGACAGACTTTTGGTTTCTGGACAGTAACCATACACATAAGGATGACATGCTCTTGGTTTCTGTACAGTAACCAAACACATAAGGATGACCGACTTGTGGTTTCTGTACAGTAATCAAACACATAAGGATGACAGACTTTTGGTTTCTGTGCAGTAACCAAACACATAAGGATGACAGACTTTTGGTTTCTGTACAGGAATCATACACATTGATGGTTGATCTTTTGTTTTTGTACAGTAACTATACACAATGATGACAGTCCCCCCCACCCCCCACCCCCCTCCTCTCATAGAATTACTAATATTGAATTATTGAAGCTGTAAGGCAATGAGTTGTATATGCATAATGTTGACACCATTTGAAATGGTTATTTTTTAAAGCAAAAAAACTTTTGGCCGATTATCTTTCCATTGTTCTTTATGAAGCTATACATCAATCTTATTAGCATAACAATTGATACACAAATTTTTTACTTTTATTTTCACTATCAGATTTCATTTACACCAAACGTTTGAATAAATGTTTTGATATTTATTCCACTTATTGTAATAATTTACTCTTGTTACTTAAATCTTCATGTAAATGAAGAATAGATACCGGTAGATATATAATTGTTGTCACTATAGAAAGCTACCTGACAGTAACAGCAGACCAATCATTAATCCTGATGGCGATTCTGCTCATAAATTTGAACAGGGAGTTCAATTATGAATGTTTCAGAGAAGGACACTTATGGAAATGTGATTGTTGATCTGTAGGACCTAATACCCCCATATCGAGTTGGAGTTGGCAATGGCCGTAAATCAACCGTGTAACCACCTGGTAATACAACACCACGTATTCCATTTCATAACGCCACGGTCATAAATATGATCCAGCACCTGCACAACAGTTACACAATAGATTGCAGATGCCAATTTATACCCAACATAAATATTCAATTTCAACAGTTATCAAATAGCTCCCATACAAACACAGATTTAATTTTGAAATCTGGAACAATAAAACTAGAAAATAAACAAACAAGAAATCTGAACCGGACATAGCTAGCTTTTATGGAAATTTTCCATTACTGGACCAACAGGAATGCACATATGTTGTTGAGTATTCCTAACTAATAATCTGGAAATCCTAGGTATATAAAACCCTTGCCGGTTTTTATCTTTTCATTAAAATTACAAAAAAAATATGTATTCTTTTACCTGGAACACACATCAGATGGTTTCTAACAGAGTAGAATATTTTGGTGTGCAGGCCGTATTTGGAAGAGATATCATTACTACACCAAACTGCTGATTACATTGTTACTGTACAAAGTCTGAGAAAATCTGTCCAATGGTTAGAAAATAACCACAACGAAACACAGACGTTTTAGTCTGGTAAAGTATGGGGTGTGTAAGGTGTAATTAGCCAGTCAGCACTATGTACAAGACAATGGGCGAGTGTGACCTGGCTGGGTAGCACCTGTCCCCCACAACACTGTAAATCACACAGACTCAACCCTAATAGCCCATCATCTCTCTAACAAAGAACTGTCAGACAACCCGATACCTTCCAGCTCTAATAAATGCTCCTCTAAGCAAAGTCTTGGTACGTTTTTCTTCATCATTATATCCTAACTGGGTAAAGACATTTTAATTTACATTCTAATGATTTCATCAATACAAGTTGTAAGACGTAGTGTCTTCTACAAAGAAAACTTTCTCTGGGACAGACTGAAAGTGTTTTGTCTCCTCAACTTATACCTTTTTTCCTCCCAACTAAATTAAAATATAGAAAACTGAAGCAGTAGATAGACAAGCATTACACTCATGTGCTCAAAGTTCTACTGTACACACAAACCAAACTGTCCAGACTAACAAAGTTCTACTGTACATACAAACAAAAGTGTCCAGACTAACAAAGTTCTACTGTACATACAAACCAAACTGTCCAGACTAACAAAGTTCTACTGTACATACAAACAAAAGTGTCCAGACTAACAAAGTTCTACTGTACACACAAACCAAACTGTCCAGACTAACAAAGTTCTACTGTACATACAAACAAAAGTGTCCAGACTAACAAAGTTCTACTGTACATACAAACCAAACTGTCCAGACTAACAAAGTTCTACTGTACATACAAACAAAAGTGTCCAGACTAACAAAGTTCTACTGTACACACAAACCAAACTGTCCAGACTAACAAAGTTCTACTGTACATACAAACAAAAGTGTCCAGACTAACAAAGTTCTACTGTACATACAAACCAAACTGTCCAGACTAACAAAGTTCTACTGTACATACAAACAAAAGTGTCCAGACTAACAAAGTTCTACTGTACACACAAACCAAACTGTCCAGACTAACAAAGTTCTACTGTACATACAAACAAAAGTGTCCAGACTAACAAAGTTCTACTGTACATACAAACCAAAGTGTCCAGACTAACAAAGTTCTACTGTACATACAAACCAAGGTGACCAGACTAACAAAGTTCTACTGTACATACAAACCAAGGTGACCAGACTAACAAAGTTCGACTTAACATACAAACCAAAGTGTCTAGACTACAAGATTCCACTGTACACACAAACCAAAGTGTCCAGACTAACAAGGTTCCACTGTACACACAAATCAAGGTGTCTAGACTAACAAAGTTCTACTGTACACACAAACCAAGGTATACAGACTAACAAAGTTCTACTGTACACACAAAGCAAGACTAACAAAGTTCTACTGTACACACAAACCAAGGTATACATACTAACAAAGTTCTACTGTACACACAAAGCAAGACTAACAAAGTTCTACTGTACACACAAACCCAGACTAACAAAGTTCTACTGTACACACAAACCAAATTATCCAAACTAATTAAGTTTTACTGGTTGTGGCTTTCCTTACCTGACACACAAGACTTGCTCTGTAGGCTGCAAGCTGCTTCAGATACTCTTTCTTCGCATTTTCAGTTTTCTTCTTGTAGTTCTAAAACAAAGAAATTTAACAAGTTCTTAACAAAAAAGTTTTTAAGATCATTTGACTTCTTAATTCACACGATTAAGGACTGGTGATATCAGTCTTGCATGGATGCATGCGTGACCTTGAAGGCAATTCCAATGTCACGAGTACACCAGATCTAATTATAGCTACAAATAGATATGGGATCAAAATCCTTATTTTGGATAATACAATTAATAGTGTATCCATCTACTGACTATGAAATGTAAACCACTTGATTCTTGATTTTACAAGGAAAAATAATTCACAAAAATACACCTTTTGTGAATATATTTCCAAGAAATAATTACTATAGATATTGAAATAGCATTATTTCAATTGTAAATTCATGTATTCAGAAATACAACTGAACACGTAGGGACAGTTTGTAAAACAAGCTCACACAGCAATGGAGTGATTAGCATGAGGCCAAACAAAAACACAGGTTTGTTTCTTGTAATTGTTACGTATCTGAAAATAATTAGGGTCGGTAGCCAGGTAATCAATTTCATTATTTTCGTAAATTTTATAAAGGAGAGTATGACCTTGACGTTAACAGTACTTCGCTGAAAATTCCAAAATAATTTAAGGGTATGACTAAAAACATTTTTTATTTGGTCTCATGGGGATTGGTTCATTATTTTTATGAATGGAACAGATTCTTCCATATAATGAACGAAGTTTAGACTTACTAGGTAGGGAGAAATGTGAAGAATATCAGTGCACCAAGGAAAGATGAATGAATCCACTTCAAGAAACAATCTGAATTAATTTTTGTTTTCACTTTTAGAAAGTCGTTTGTGTGCATGGCAATATCCATTGAACAGTTAAATGATTTAAGAAAATCTGAAATCAAATTAATAAAATCCTGTCTTTGCAGCATGATTTTTCAATTACAAATTTGTTCCTATTACAAAGACAAACAAAATGAGACCATTATCTATAAACAGAATTTAATGAAAATCTCGAGGTTGTGACACGTGTCGCTTCATTTGAAGATGAGCGGTATGATGTTGTTCTGGCGTTGAAGTGAATATGGCCCTTCCATAGCTACCTCATCAATCAGCTTGATGGATCATGGGAAGTCTACTGACGGTTTGAATTCAATTCTCACAGCTACTTCTATTTCCATGAGGCAGAATAAAAGACACTTAAGCATTTTCATGGGAGTTTTTCATTATTTTAAAAGCACATTACCATTCCCTATGTAAATCACGAAACAATTGATCATTTTAGTAATCTGTCAAGAGGCTGGGATCATCCCATATTCTTCCTCATACAAATATACAGAGATTAAAACTTGTCCTCAATAAGTGAAAAAGGTGCAGGTCGGGAGAGAAATCACAAAAATAATTCACAAATCACATAAACATGAATTTCTCTTCAAATAACACAGCACTCAAATTAATGTCAATAAAGCACATTTAAACTGATGGAAGGAATGTCATTGCTATGGTAACTGTTCATAACATCTAAGATCTTAATTTGAAATCTAGGGCCAATATTTCTAGTACACACATGACTCAGAGAGCCTGGAAATGATTGAGTACATCTTTTGTAGCCCCCTGCCACCTGCTGCAGCTGATGCTGAGGATAAAAGACAAGTGTAATGAGTTCATTGTCTCCTTCGCCATTGTGAAGGTACCTTTCAGTTCTGTCCTCCATTGTCCTCTCAGAGTTCCCTTATTTGTAGTCAGCGTGCTACTGTGAACACTTATAGAAACTGAACAGATATACATCTACAGCACTATCACAGGGTCTAGTAATTAACATGCCCATATAAAGGCACGGACTCGGACATGCATTATGATGCAACGCTAAATTTTTAATTTTGTGAGGGTCAAAATGTTAAGGTAGTAGTCTTCAGTGATTCTCCAGATTATATAGGGCACTATATAAATGTTGTATATTATTATTATTATTCAGTGATTCTCCAGATTATATAGGGCGCTATATAAATGTTGTATATTATTATTATTATTATTATTATTATTTAGTGATTCTCCAGGTCTAACATTAGGGCTATGAATTTGCAAGGTTTATAGTTCGTATATTTTTTCAGGTCATAAAATAAAGCGTAAATGTTAAACATCCATGAAATTGAAGTGGTCTACATTAAGACAATGGATAACATTGTATGATGGTCTGATCATCATTGCTGAGCCTTGTATTGGTCTTTATGATTCATTTACTTCACATATCAATCAGGTCATTATCTGTAAGCAATGGCTGTTGAATGTGCTGAACTGATTTTGGCAAGATGTGAGCAACCCAAGTACTTCTACAATTATTAAACTAAACCTTGTTTATATAATCCACCTTTTGTCTGGCAAAATGTTGTGTTATGAAACAGCTTCATGATACATTTATATCAAGGGAGACGAACAGAAGAATTGTTAAGAAAAAGGGTAAATGGTGACTTAGACCTATGTTGGCAGTAAGCGAGAGGTGGCAAATAACATGAGGGGCATTTATATATATATAGAGGTTTGAGTGTACATCTTTTGAAGTTAGTACAAATAACAAGAGTTCTTCTCAAAATTAGACAGGCTTAACAGAATTATTTAGACGAGTCTGTAATGCAATGTTCTAAAAATTCTAAAGAAATGTGGAAAAAGATCAATGATTTTTTCATTTACTGTTAATTTAAATGTTGATGGAATTACTATTTCTGAAAAGGTAGATGTTGCTAGCGCCTTTAAAAAAAAATCTGCAGTATTGGGACAGAAATAGGTGAATTTACCTTTGATGCCAGTTTACCAAAAATAGACAGTTTTGTTACTGACAATTCTGTTGTTATCCCAAACATTACACCAGATTTTTGTACTTGCTGAAATCAAGCAAATGGCTGATGGTAAAGCTACTGGTGAAGACGGTATTTCTGTGAAACTACTGAAATCTGCTGGTGATTCTATTGTGTCACCCTTAACCTTTTTGTTTAATATGTCAATTTTAAAAGGAGTTTTTCCTTCTGAGTGGAAAAAGGCCAAGGTCACCCCTATTTTTAAAGCAGGTGATTCTACCTTAGTAAACAATTATAGACCTGTCTCTGTATGATGTGTCCTCGGTAAGATCTAAGAGAAGCATGTACATATAACACATTGTATGATTTTCTTTCACACAGCAAATTGGTTATAGTGATTGCCACTTTGGGTTTCGTCCAAATCATTCTACTTATACAGCTCTAGTGAATATTGTAGACAAATGGCTGAACAACATTGATGAAGGTTACTTAACCAGTGCTGTTTTTATCGACCTTCGCAAGGCATTCGATACTGTTAATCATGCTGTTCTTTTATATAAACTTAAAACTTATGCTGTATCGCCTCTTACATCAAAATCCTTTGCTTCTTACCTATCAAACAGATCACAGGAAGTGACTTGTGGTGATGAAATGTCTCATGTTCAACCTATCAATATTGGTGTACCGCAAGGCTCTATACTTGGGCCTCTGCTTTTCATTTCAAATATTTATGACTACCCAAATGATAGAAGACTTAGAATGCACAATTCAGTGGATGAGAGAAAACAAACTTAGTCTTAATCCGTGTCTCAGTCTCAGTACATGTTGATTGGGTCGTCTCAAAGGTTATCTAAATGTCGTGAGTTGAACATTACTATTGTTAATTTAATGATAGAAACTGTTCACTGTGCAAAACTCCTTTTTTGTCGAATTTTGTCGGTCTTGGAAAGACTACATTAATTACATATCAAAGAAAATTTCGAAAAAGATCGGTGTTCTGATAAGGTTACGACCTTTCATGTCTAATGATGTTCTCAGTAAAGTTGATCAAAGTATAGTTTTCCCACATTTTATCTATTGTTCTGTGGTCTGGAGTGAGGCTAGTAACAAATCATATATTCATAAAAACTTTAAACTTCAGAAAAGGGCAGCTAGAGTTTTGTTAAATATAAGAGACGTCTTTGCCCCTTCCATTTTGCTTTTTAAACAGTTAAAGTGGCTGCCAACAGAAGATTATTTTATTTTTAGGAAATTAAAGCAGTTCTGGCTTACAAAATTTTACATGGGAACACTACAAGTGTTTTAAGTAATATGTTTACCTATGTCCGGGATATCAGTTTTAGATATACAAGGTCATCAGTTTCCAACAAGATTTATATTCTCACTGAAGTGGCGGATCCAGAGGGGTTTTATTTGGCTTCAGGACCCCCCCCNATGATTTTAAACTTATCACTTTGAAACTGATAGTCTCTCTGTCCATAAGAGCAGAATGATGACCAATCTGAACACGGCAGCTGAAGACAAACAGAATATGTGACCAAAGCCGCCATTATCATAAAACCATAAACAGTGAGCCGAGCATTAATAATGACGGCCTGTCAATGTGCTCAGATAAATACAGGCAAAATTGATGGTGAGGAAAGTAAATGACCAAAATACCAAGCATTAATACCTTATGTAGCATATGGGTATTTATTAGATCTGAATACATGCCATACTGACCAATGCCCTAACAAGGTGAGGTCAGCGTGATTATAGCTCACCGGTCATTAAACTAGTGTTAGTCCAGTACTGTGAGGGTAGAAGGCCTTCCCCTTTACTAATTACTGCTATTTCTCGTCCAATTATTCCTAGAACATTTAGTTGGTGGTACAGAGATGATTAATTATATTTCTGATTAATATTGCATTTTGTTTAGTGTATGGCAGGCTAATTATACCCCTAACCTAGACGTAGCTGCATAATCGGCCATTGTACTGGTGATTAGGGGTGGTAATGGACAGATCTCATTGCTGCAAAACAAAACCCATTTAGAGAACAAAATTGGTATTTATCACCCACAAATAGACTAATAGTAGTGTACTGTCCATAGTTTACTTCCATCCAAACATTTATGCAACAATGGATTTTTGAATGTTATATGTACTTTTAAACAATAAAATTTCATTAGCTAAATGAAATCTCAAATGTCACAATCTCTTCTCCGATTCCAAAAAGGCCTGCTGCACCTAAGTGTATGCAAAACATTGAACTACTTCTTCAAAGTGTATGTAGTTATATATCAGTGTATGTAGTTGTATCTCGGAGTATGTAGTTGTATATCAGTCTATGTAGTTGTATATCAGTGAATGTAGTTATATATCAGCGTATGTAGTTGTATATCAGTATAAGCAGTTATATATCAATGTATGTAGTTGTATATAAGTGTATGCAATTATATATCAGTGTATGCAGTTATATATGAGTGTATGCAGTTATATATCTGTGAATGTTGTTACATATCTGTGTAACTATGTACACAGATATGTAACATCATTCACTGATATATAACTGCATACCCTGATATATAACTGCATACACTGGGAGGCAACTACATACACTGATATCCAACTACATACACTGATAAGCAACTACATACACTGATATTCAACTACATACACTTATATATAACCACATACACTGATATACATCTACATACACTGATATAGAACTACATACACTGATAAGCAACTACATACACTGATATTCAACTACATACACTGATATATAAGTGTATGCAGTTATATATGAGTGTATGCAGTTATATATGAGTGTATGCAGTTATATATGAGTGTATGCAGTTATATATGAGTGTATGCAGTTATATATCAGTGTATATAGTTGTATATCAGTGTAAGTAGTTGTATATCAGTGAATGTAGTTATATATCAGCGTATGTAGTTGTATATAAGTGTATGCAGTTATATATCAGTAAATGTTGTTACATATCTGTGTAACTATGTACACAGATACGTAACAACATTCACTGATGTATAACTGCATACACTGGGAGGCAACTACATACACTGATAAGCAACTACATACACTGATAAGCAACTACATACACTGATAAGCAACTACATACACTGATAAGCAACTACATACACTGATATATAAGTGTATGCAGTTATATATCAGTGTATGCAGTTATATATCAGTGAATGTTGTTACATATCTGTGTACATAGTTACACCAGTTTATAAACTGTACGACTGATCCTACCCAGGACTGACTACCCAGTAAGGCCCTTTACTTGAAGTGATGGAGATCTGATCCCTCTGACTAATGGTATTGACTGATCCTACCCAGGACTGACAACCCAGTAACGCCCTTTACTTTAAGTGATGGAGATCTGATGTCTCTGACTACTGGTATTGACTGATCCTACCCAGGACTGACGACCCAGTATGGACCTTTAATAGAAGTGATGGGGACCTGATCTCTCTGACTACTGGTATTGACTGATCCTACCCAGGACTGACAACCCAGTAAGGCCCTTTACTTTAAGTGATGGAGATCTGATCTCTCTGACTACTGGTATTGACTGATCCTACCCAGGACTGACGACCCAGTAAGGACCTTTAATAGAAGTGATGGGGACCTGATCCCTCTGACTACTGGTATTGACTGATCCTACCCAGGACTGACTACCCAGTAAGGCCCTTTAATAGAAGTGATGGGGACCTGATCTCTCTGACTACTGGTATTGACTGATCCTACCCAGGACTGACTACCCAGTAAGGCCCTTTACTTGAAGTGATGGGGACCTGATCCCTCTGACTACTGGTATTGACTGATCCTACCCAGGACTGACTACCCAGTAAGGCCCTTTACTTGAAGTGATGGAGACCTGATCTCTCTGACTACTGGTATTGACTGATCCTACCCAGGACTGACTACCCAGTAAGGGCCTTTACTTGAAGTGATTAAGATCTGATCTCTCTGAGTAATGGTATTGACGTTTGACCTATATGATAATAATATCAGACTCCATCTCTAATTATGGCTGCACAAATGTGGTCAAGAGTTCAAAAGAGTTCAAATATGTTGTGGTTGCTGGCTAACCTGTTTAACCAATCATTGGACCACACAGTTCCACAACAAAATCCTCCTACAAACAAAGCCCCCGCCATGGCACACTGAACCATACCAATGTTGTGATTAATTACAGCAGTCACAAACCATGTATAGGACAGCCTGGGTTTTCACAGTCCATTTGAATCAGCAATACTGCATGCAGCAAGTACTTCACAAACAGCTTGTTACTCATGTATAGCTGGTAGTTTGAAATGTTATGATACACATGTTTAGCAGTTAAATCTGATTTTAAGAAATATGTCCAAAAATGGAGAAATATGTTCCTTTTTTGTTTTCGTCTTTGTTGTTAAACCTATTTACAAAAAGATAGGCAAAATAACAATTAACCTATTAAAGCTGTAAGGTTTTTATATTTAATAGTGTAAAGGATTAGGACTGGGTAAACTTACAAATCAAGTCGACAGTATAATAGCATTGCTGAAGGTAAAACACATAGAAGATTGTGGCAAACTTACACTCTTGTGATCAGGGTCAAGGCCATCCCACATGGAGGCTACGATCTTGGACACCTCTCCGAAGCTTGCGTTGGGGTTCTGGCCCTTTATGGCTGCCTGAGTGTCACGGAAAAACAGGGCATAGGCTGACACAGGTCTGTGGATAGAGAAAAACACAGGGTTAATTATTTGGACAGAGCTCAAAGAATATAGGTAACTATTTCGACAGAGGGACATAGGGTTAATCGTTTGGACAGAGCAACACAGGTTTAATTGTTTGGACAGAGGAACACAAGCTTATTGTTTTGGACAAAGGATCATGCGGTTAATCGTTTGACAGATAGACAAATGGTTAATTGTTTATTTTAACTGAAAACATTTTTGTAATTGAAAAACATGAAGGTGACTTAATACACATTTTTACATGTACATTGTATTACCCATCAAACTACATGTCCTCATGGCAGTTTACCACAAGAAGCAACTCATGCAAAAAACTGAGAAAACAGTAAATGGAATGTGAAAGACAAGAGAATTAGGCCATTGTCATAATTGGCTAAAACTAATATCCTGTAAAATCTCTTAAGTGCATGCATGCGCAGCTGTTTTCCTTAAAATGTGGTTTTCCTATTGCTTGAAAAAAAAATGATTTGATAACAGTCATTAGACAAGAAAAAGGCAGCCTCTTTTTGCTCTCTTAGGAGATGCGTCTTCGTGCTTTCAAAAAATCAATGTCACTGCCATAGGCTGACATGCTTTTATACTGATCAGGCGATACGACGGATAAACATCAGAATCCTCTGGTAATCTGTCTCAGCTTTACTTATAAATCCATCATTTAATACATCAGGATCTTATAACTCCATCATTTAATACATCTGGATCTTATAACTCCATCATTTAATACATCAGTATCTTACAGAAATCAGTCTTAGGTTTACTTATAACTCCATCATTTAATACATCAGTATCTTACAGAAATCAGTCTTAGGTTTACTTATAACTCCATCATTTAATACATCAGTATCTTACAGAAATCAGTCTTAGGTTTACTTATAACTCCATCATTTAATACATCAGGATCTTATAGAAATCAGTCTTAGGTTTACTTATAACTCCATCATTTAATACATCAGTATCTTATAGAAATCAGTCTTAGGTTTACTTATAACTCCATCATTTAATACATCAGGATCTTATAGAAATCAGTCTTAGGTTTACTTATAACTCCATCATTTAATACATCAGTATCTTATAGAAATCAGTCTTAGGTTTACTTATAACTCCATCATTTAATACATCAGGATCTTATAACTCCATCATTTAATACATCAGGATCTTACAGAAATCAATCGTTAGTTTATTTATAACTCCATCATTTAATATATCGGGATCTTATAACTCCATCATTTAATACATCAGGATCTTACAGAAATCAATCTTAAGTTTACTTATTATTTGATCATCAGAATCATGAAGGAATCTGAGTAAAATATCGTACTGTTGGTTTTACAGAAACATCAACACAGTACAGTACTCATACTGTATAGCATTCTAACAATATGTCATTTACAACATTTTTGTTAAGAATTATGATAAATTGAAATTGTATAATTTTGTAGTTGTTCATACCATCTGTTGAAATATTTAATAGAAATCTGAAAAAAGATTGAAACTTTAATAATACAGATGGCTTGAGCTGTTTCTTCGACATCTTTTTAATTTTTATTTCCTGCAGCAAAATAATGCAATAGTGATGTCTGTTATCTGAACAGGATTTCCTTCACAGGAGGAGTAACAGATTCTGTTACAAGGAAAAAGTTAAAATTCCATTTACTTGATATTGGATATTATATCTGAACCCGGATAAGAAAGTGACACAAATAGCGACCTTGCAAACAAATGAAAGTCCGAAAGTGTAAAAATGGTTTCTACAGACATCTAGCAGTAACAGGTGGCAACTCCAGGTAAACAAATTAGACGAGACTTGTAAACCGTACACTAAGTGGCGAACTGACTGGCGACAAGAGTAACAGGACATGTGCATTGACAAGCTCGCCATTGTTAGCTGTGTGATTATTTCAGGACGAATTCCGATTTGGTATTTGATTTTCTCTAGTTTCCTTGCTAAGTCACTGAGGCGTGATCGTAATCAACCAGCCTATTCTATAGAGGTGATGTAAGTTATGGCTACCCGGATTTGTTGGTTACAGGTAAGTGGGCACTACTACAACAGGTGGAGGATAACAGGTGGGCAATGAGAACTTCCGTCTACGGCCCTTACTGTGGGAACAGGTACTTAAAAAAACAACTTTAAAAATGAAATGATGTAATTATTTATTTATTTTAAATTCTTGACTTTGTGAAAAAAATCTATCCTCTGTTGATATCATTCATCTGATTAAAAGTATTACAGCCGAAGACTGTAAACCAACATAAAAGGAGGATTTCTTTAAGTCAGCGAGATAATTACTAGAGTTACATCCGGCTGCTGGAGTCCACAAACCTTAGTAACAGACTGGGCACAAAATAAACATGTAAAACATTCAGGGCCTGTATGTCTTTTATAGACAGCAGCTTCAGACAGTAAGTAACTGTAGGTATGTGACTGGTAATCCTTAGTTCTGAGAAAACAAGATTGTGTCACTGACCAGATCTTCATTACCACACATGTATAGGTATCAAGTGTGATAATCCTAGCTAGCTGTCACCCTAATCTGAGACTAAGTCTATATTCAGATTATAATTAGGAAGCTGTTCCCAAGGATAGGAAGTGTATATAGCTACCACCGGGTATGGAGATTGTCATTGACACTGAAGTGGATAGCACCACAACAAATAACAATTTATTACATAAAGATTTGTCACAAGGGAAGACTAAAAGAGAAAAAAATGCAAGTGCACTGTATAAAGACAAAATGAAGGAATGCAGTATAAAGTCAATAATGGATAGGGAATGTATATAGCTACCGCCGGGTATGGAGATTGTCATTGACCCTGAAGTGGTGGGTAAGGGGTTACACAAAAGTCAATAATGGATAGGAAGTGTATATAGCTACCACCGGGTATGGAGATTGTCATTGGCCCTGAAGTGGGGGGTAAGGGGTTACACAAAAGTCAATAATGGATAGGAAGTGTATATAGCTACCACCGGGTATGGAGATTGTCATTGCCCCTGAAGTGGTGGGTAAGGGGTTACACAAAAGTCAATAATGGATAGGAAGTGTATATAGCTACCACCGGGTATGGAGATTGTCATTGGCCCTGAAGTGGGGGGTAAGGGGTTACACAAAAGTAAATAATGGATAGGGAGTGTATATAGCTACCACCGTGTATGGAGATTGTCATTGACCCTGAAGTGGATAGCACCACAACAAATAACAATTTATTACATAAAGATTTGTCACAAGGGAAGACTAAAAGAGAAAAAAATGCAAGTGCACTGTATAAAGACAAAATGAAGGAATGCAGTATAAAGTCAATAATGGATAGGGAATGTATATAGCTACCACCGGGTATGGAGACTGTCATTGACCCTGAAGTGGATAGCACCACAACAAATAACAATTTATTACATAAAGATTTGTCACAAGGGAAGACTAAAAGAGAAAAAAATGCAAGTGCACTGTATAAAGACAAAATGAAGGAATGCAGTATAAAGTCAATAATGGATAGGGAATGTATATAGCTACCGCCGGGTATGGAGATTGTCATTGACCCTGAAGTGGGGGGCAAGGGGATACACAACAGTCAATAATGGATAGGGAGTGTATATAGCTACCACCGTGTATGGAGATTGTCATTGACCCTGAAGTGGGGGGCAAGGGGATACACAACAGTCAATAATGGATAGGGAGTGTATATAGCTACCACCGTGTATGGAGATTGTCATTGACCCTGAAGTGGATAGAACCACAACAAATAACAATTTATTACATAAAGATTTGTCACAAGGGAAGACTAAAAGAGAAAAAAATGCAAGTGCACTGTATAAAGACAAAATGAAGGAATGCAGTATAAAGTCAATAATGGATAGGGAATGTATATAGCTACCGCCGGGTATGGAGATTGTCATTGACCCTGAAGTGGTGGGTAAGGGGTTACACAAAAGTCAATAATGGATAGGAAGTGTATATAGCTACCACCGGGTATGGAGATTGTCATTGGCCCTGAAGTGGGGGGTAAGGGGTTACACAAAAGTCAATAATGGATAGGAAGTGTATATAGCTACCACCGGGTATGGAGATTGTCATTGACCGTGAAGTGGATAGCACCACAACAAATAACAATTTATTACATAAAGATTTGTCACAAGGGAAGACTAAAAGAGAAAAAAATGCAAGTGCACTGTATAAAGACAAAATGAAGGAATGCAGTATAAAGTCAATAATGGATAGGGAATGTATATAGCTACCGCCGGGTATGGAGATTGTCATTGACCCTGAAGTGGAGGGTAAGGGGTTACACAAAAGTCAATAATGGATAGGAAGTGTATATAGCTACCACCGGGTATGGAGATTGTCATTGACCCTGAAGTGGATAGCACCACAACAAATAACAATTTATTACATAAAGATTTGTCACAAGGGAAGACTAAAAGAGAAAAAAATGCAAGTGCACTGTATAAAGACAAAATGAAGGAATGCAGTATTGTGCTAATGTTAAGAATTCATGTGATCTGTATTTTCTCTCAATTTCAATTGGTATTACAATACAGCAGACACCCAATGGTGCAAAACGACATTCATTGAAATTTTTGAATTAATTTTTTTGTGTTTTTATTCTAGTACTAATGCTTTCACATTACAGCGTAGACTCTCTCCATTCTTGTACCAAAACCTTTTCCATTCTTGTACCAAAACCTTAACGTTATGATTTAGACTGTCATTTTATTCTATTAGATTTAAAGATACAAAAACTTACACACTAAGTCAACTGGTATATCAGTTGAGCTATGTGGTCTACTAACATGCACTGTGGTATAATTAATGAAAAAGTGTTTAATTTGACTTGATTTCAAAATGACAAAAAATCAAATCATCTATTTGCCAATTAATTATACCAATAAACATAGGAAACAGCCTCCCATGTGTGAAGTTTTACATACAGGTGGTGGGTTCCTAAATCTTTCCTGTTGTAATATTTTCCCAATGGGTTCTTTGTTAATTTATGATTTTATAATAAACTTTCCTGACTTCATTTTTCGTTTATATTTTACTGTGTCAAGGTGATGCACTGGGTCAGTATCGTATGCAAAACTTTGGATTTCTTAGGGAAATGTTGGTGGTAGTATACTCATCCTTAGCCTGGTGTAAGAAGTTTTACATCATTGCAAGCAGCTTTTCAATACCAACCTTGTGACAGGAAATTGAATTATTACATGAAAACAGGTATAGCACACCTTCCAAAAGGAAAAATGAGTGAATGAATTTTTGAAATAAAATTTGTATTAGAAATTTGTTTTAACTATTTTTATCGCTTACTTTTGAGGCTCATTTGGATCCTTCTTCTTTTTCTTTTTAGGGGTTTTCTGTTTCTTTGGCGCTGGTGGGTCCGCTGGAACGGCAGCAGCAGCAGAGGCAGCCGCGGCTGCGGCCGCAGCAGCAGCAGCAGCTTGGCGCTTCATCATGGCCAACTGTGGACACAGGTGTGAACACATCAGAGTCAGTAATTAATTACAGGTAAACATTGTCAGTAATCAGAGATGTCACCTGTATATATAGGTCTGTCTGCGGGAGGAAACCTTTTATCACAGGACTGATTGCCTGTGTTAATTACGTGTACTGTGGAAACACACCTGTGTCAGATGACCACAGTATGTAACATAGAAGTCGATATTAATTCCTCAATAGTTATAACTGTTGATGATATATGAAAATTTCTAATTGAAAAATGAAATGATTTGGAAATAGCGATACTTGATTTTATCATAAACGATTCCATAAATGTAAAAACTTGCTGACCAATATAACTTTTTATATCAAATCCATCTTTAACTTCATAAATGATTTTTCTTCTTTTTTGTAAAAATGAGAAGCAGCACCTCTATGAAATTTCCAGAGAATTTATCTTGTGATGCTTACAACATTGTTCATACTTTTTCGTATGCAACACATACCTGAGCCAGGGGGAGGCTGTCGTCACTGTCGCTGCTGCTACTCTCCCGGTTGGGCGACACAGAGTTGAGGCCGCCCGTGGGCTGGGACCCTTTATTGGAAACACTGTGGAACCCCAGCTGTTTCTGCACATCAGCATGGCTGATGGTGCGTAGAGGTTCACTTGTTACTAGGTTAGTGTTCAGACTGACGGAACTGTACGTGCCGTTGGAGGTGGAGGTGGACTGCAGACTGTTGGTTATAGAGATGTCTGGCACATCAAAGTTCTGCGGAGGAAACTTAGGCACAATTTGGTCTCCCATAGCATTCCGTGACATCTCCGACAGATCCATGTTTCCGATCGGAGGGTGAGATAGAACAGTCTGTGATGTGTATCCGGGCTGGTGGTTTTCAGAATGAGAAATAGAATCAGAAACTTGAGGGGGAAGTGTTAATGTGTTGATATCAAAATCTTCATCACCAAAACTAGGAGTATGGAATGTCTGAAAAGAGAAAGAAATATTCATTCCATGAGAGCAAACACGACTGTGTAGATGTATGAAGTTTTAAACATATGTTCCCTATGAAATAAACCAAAGTGAACTGAAGATTTTTAATAATAAGATTTTGTTTTTTTTTGTAATAAAAACTGTGCAGTGATGTCATACATCATTGATGTCGCCATGTTACATAACAGTCAATCACTCACTAAATAGAGAACTGGAAGGTGATACATAATCATAGACAAATATAGACAAGACGGACTGTGTAGCCAATTACTTAACTAATCAAAACAACAAGGATGAAATGATGCCTCACTTTGTCTTCCTGGCTGGCTATCGGACCAAAGACAGATGGAGATGCGATCATGCAGCGTTTGATTTATAGATGTATACGTATACGTACAGCATTACATAAGTTGACCCCCAAACCTTGTGGAAAGATCTATTACATTGCACCTATTGGCCGGCTTGAGCTGCAGTCTTACAAACATTTGTAAATGGGAGAAAGAAACCTATATACTGGTGACCTTTTATGAACAATCACATCAATGTAGTGTTGATATTCCACCAGATTTTTTTGTCAATAAAAAAACAATATTTCAAAGTACAAAAGAAAAGTATTTGATTTTGGTTATTATATTTAGACTGAACACTCCTGAGTGATTCTCATAGGTAAGGCAAACACAGAAATGCCTGGATGAATTCAAGAAGACAAAGTACAGTAAGCAATTGATCGTCACCCAAACAGTACTATAAAGTCGGCATCAGTCCCGTGCTATCACAAGGAGACAAAACACGAACATATCGCAGCCTCCCAAAACACACATGCATACGCTACACGCATGCATCTTGCACACAGGGGAGTCCGTCCTTAAATGACCATAGCTGTTGATAGGACATTAAACAATACCAAACCAAACCAAACCAAACCAAACCACCCAAACAAACAAACTTTGGGGGGGGGGGGGGGGGTTCAAGAAATTATCAAAGGGCCATAACTCTGTCTATAGTGGAGCACAAGCCCAGATTTCAGTATGAAACACAAATATTTTAACAGATACTCACATACAAAATTTGGGCTAATTGTGATTTACAGAGTAATAGACGTAATATATATGAGATATGCCTAAAACGAAGTAACACACTAACTGACAAATGTACGGAGTACACACATAGCTCCTTCTATTCAAAGCCAATCAAGACACTATACTGACACAGGGTTTACAGTGTGTTCATGGAAATCTTGAATATTTCGACCTCAGTGTGGGTGGCGTACAGAACTATTCCAGGTGAACATTATGTATTGTAATTTACATGTACAATGATGAGTTTCAGCCAAACGGATTTACGTGTACAACAAAATGTTTCAGCAACTAGTTCAATCACATAAATACTTGGCTAAGTGAACATGAATGCGTAACTCGATCTACCGAGTAAATCGGAGTGCTACTATACTACAACAACCTATAGATTTATGTGTAGGAATATAACACATATTATATATAGGAATACCACTATATAATACAGTGTTTTAAGTATCCGACCTACCTTAGGAATCACCGACAACACACTCCTACTGTCTGTCCTTAATAAAGATTAATCCCAAAATGATGTCCACACATAAAAAAATCCTATTTGCCAGATGAACATTATTTATCACAATTAATGTCTACAGAATAAAAACATTAAGTCATATTCTTTCCGTTAAAACCATCCACCATTTTTGTCCCGTTAGGAAATGACCCTATCCGAGAGAAGGAGAGCGGGAAGGTGGTATAAAACTGCGGGATCCATCAGCTACATCAGGAGAAGATCAATACCTGACGACACAATAGGCTTGTCCCTTAAACAGCTGGCAAATGGAACTGCACTTCTAAATCTATAATAAACGGCATCAACACCAATCTAATCAGCACCTTTTTACAGGTTTTGTTTGATGCAGCAAGAAAAATGTACTAAAGAGTTGCAGCTTTTATTCTTTTTCCGTAGAAGTATAGTGTCATTATTTTATATGTATTTTTTATCGTGAAAGCATCTTTTTGATCAATCACTATCCTTATCGGTGATTTCTGCAATCTGTTATGAAGGCCTATCTGTAAATTTTTAATAGCAACACTGAATTCTTCAATTTCATTCTAAAAAAAGCATAGTATACTGATTGCTTTTAGCCGTACGAATGTAATATATACTTAAAAGCATTCCAGTTTATCAGATCATGACAATCTTGGATCATATTTGTCTGAATTGATCCCAACTTTCAGCATCTCTGAACAGAAGAAGCCCAATAGCATTTTAACCTGGCAATTTCTGACTGTTTACTTATAAAATAAAATACAACAAAAAGTTTTTCAAACAGTCCAAAATCAAGACTGTTATTACAAGTCATTTAAAAAAAAAACCACCAAGTCTTCCTGGTTCTATTACTGCAGTGGCCAATTGGTAAATATCTGTTACACTCACAATGAGAGTGCTCGAGTGATACTGTATAGTTACTGATACTCACGAGGTATTTAATTTCACTAATTTCGTGAATGTATAAAAAAAATTGTGAAATTTTGTACCTTGTGAAACGTCGCCAGTACTTCCAGGTTTTACACGTCTGTGATTCAAGTTGATCTTGAGGTTATGTATTAATTAGATCTCAATATAGCGAAATATAATGAAATGTAACAGTTGAAATTAGAAAGGAAAAAAAAATATCACAAATTGATTTCAACTAGTTTGAATGAAAGTTCAAAAACCCAGGTAAATACTCCTGGTATGAAATCTGAACAATAAAGGTTCATCTCATTACATCACCCGAGATTACACAACACACCTATCCAGGTAAGATTTCTCACACCTTCGCAACAACCCAGATACGAGCTGAAAACAATAGAACGGTCTTTGAGTCCGTTACCTTGTGCTGGCCACCTAGTCTTAAATAGCATGTGCGGTAGGTTCTAGCCAACAGCTATTTAAATTCGACGCTACAATGATCACTACTGACATTTTCTTCTAGACATAATTGTTATGTCTTCCATCGTGCGTATTATTAATATTCAAGGTCTCTTCTACATGTTATAGGAGAAATCCTCAACAACAGAAACATGTCATCATGTGTCAGAGGATATCGAGATCATGCTTACTTTTCCCCCCGACAGCATGATGCAAGAAGCCGGTTCAATATGTTACTGATATTGTTGTAACCCAAAGTTTTCCCGTTTTAAACCAGACTCTACCCCAGATCTTAACAAAAGAATGATTTAATTTAAGTTCACAAGGCTCATACATACAATTGAATTTAATCAGCACTGAAAACTTTTTGCAAACATTCCAAAAATTAATTTACAGAATTGTGGTGCATGAAAATAAACCCCTGCGAATAAGTTCTGGAAATACAATCGTGATATTTTACACTCACAAAGTTAACCAATTTAACTCATTCACCCCTGAAGACACATTTGAACTCTTCCAATTCAAAGGTTGATATAGTTCATTATGAAATTTCAGGGGTGAATGAGTTAATATAGAAGTGATCAGTATCTTATAGACACTATTGGGGTAGTTATTGGGGCCGAGTGGTAGGGACCTCGGACTCCAACACTAAGGCAGTTATTGGGGCTGAGTGGTAGGGACCGTGGACTCCAACACTAAGGTAGTTATTGGGGCTGAGTGGTAGGGACCTCGGACTCCAACACTAAGGTAGTTATTGGGGCTGAGTGGTAGGGACCGTGGACTCCAACACTAAGGTAGTTATTGGGGCTGAGTGGTAGGGACCTCGGACTCCAACACTAAGGTATTGGGATTGAATAGTAAAAGTGAGTAAATGATGATGTTTATAGATAAGTATATACAAACTTACATAATTATCAGGATGAATTAAAGCTGATGTTTAGGGATGATGTTTATAGATAAGTATATACAAACTTACATATCAGGATTAATTAAAACTGATGTTTAGGGATGATGTTTATAGATAAGTATATACAAACTTACATATCAGGATTAATTAAAACTGATGTTTAGGGATGATGTTTGGAGATATATGCCTTTGTTAAAAAACAATTTTAAGATTAATGATGACTGTTTCATTTTCAACTCTGTCAATTTCACTGAATTTCGATTGTTTTAACTATTTAGGGCTAACACAATAAAATGTTTGTCAATCAGCCCCATCCATTACCTCAGATACTTAACAATTCCCTCTGTACATCAATCTGAGGTGTCATCCAATCTACTAAGTGATGAATATTCATAAGACAATATCTGCATGTTATGTAATATATAATGCATCTCATTTAATCCTGAACGTATTATACATGTACTCATTCACATTTATACCATGATGTATCCATGATGTGTTACCTAAGTACCAACAGAAAGATGAAGGAATTAAAAAAAATGTGAACAAGCATAATTTACTTGATGACATTTTTTCTTTTAGGTAAACAATGATGACTAAATAATGACAACTGAGCTCTTCCCTAGGACACAAAGATTGTAACATTTATGAGCTCTCTCCTCTGATACCAGATTTGTAAAAGAAAAAGTTATCTCCCCTGATAAAGATTATTGTAAAAAGAGCTTCTTTGCATCTCTGTAACAATCTGAGCTCTGTTCTTGGATACCAGGATAGCAACAATGAGAGCTCTCCCCGATACAAGATTATTGTGATAATAAGCTCTATGTACTTTAGTTAGATTAATTATAAGACAATTTTTCCCCCTAAAATATAAGGTTTAAGGTTGGTAGCATTAAGCTTATCCCCTCATACAAGATTTGAAGTTGTGAGCTTTCTCCTCAGGTAGAAAGGCATATGGCTTTCTCTTCTTTCTGAGATGCTCTTTCTACTAATGGATGATTAACAATAGTGAGCTCTTTCTACTAATGTTATATTTACAACAGTGAGCCCTTTTTACCTATACAATAATATTTTACAACAGTGAGCCCTTTTTACCTATACAATAATATTTTACAACAGTGAGCTTTTTCCTCTGATAAAAGATTTACAACTGTGA